ATTCTACCGGTGATCAAACCAAAAATTTGGATTCGTTATGTAGATGACACATTCGTCATCGTCAAAAGGGAGGAACTAGAAAACACCTACAGGCAGATCAACAGCGTCTTCAGCGAAATCAAGTTCACAATGGAACAAGAATCGAACAACAAGCTACCGTTCTTAGATATATTAGGCACCAAAACGGACACAGAAAAATTAGAGACTCAAGTGCACAGGAAGCCGACCCACACCGATCAAATTCTCAATTACAATAGCAACAACCCAAGAACTCACAAAACCAACTGCGTACAAACCTTGTTCAAGAGGGCAAGGACACACTGCAACACAATCACAGCACGAAAAAATGAAGAAAAACACCTGAAAACCATTCTTCAAAAGAACGGCTATCCAATCAATTTTATCAAAAAATACCAGTCGCATACGTCATCAAAAACGAAATCAAGTATAAAAATCAACAAAAGGATCACCCTACCATACATAAAAGACATATCGGAAACAACAACAACAAGGCTGCTGAAAACCTTCGGAATAGGTGTAGCCCACAAACCAACAAAGTCCCTCCATTCAATCTTATGCAAACCAAAGGATAAAATAGCAAAAGAAGACAAAACAAACATCATCTACAAGATAAATCGTACCAACTGCGATGAACACTATATCGGACAAAGCGGACGCCCCCTGCATCTTCGCCTACATGAACACCAATTAGCAGTCAAACGCCACGACATTTCCTCACTCATATCAATACACGTGGACAACTACGGACATACATTGGACTGGGAAAATGTGCAGATTTTGGACAGAGGCAATTCCAAAAACACCAGAGAATTTTTAGAAGGTTGGCACTCAGGTCAATCAGCAATAAACAACCACATTGAAATCAGTCCAATCTATCAACGAATCAAGAAAATTATGCAGTAACATAGAAACAAAAATCAAACCAATATGAGATATATCCAAAACGAAGAAATAAACAATGACAGATTTAAGGTCGATAAAAACCAATCAACATCGAGGTGCACAGGACAAACTGTGAATCACATATGGAGAAATTTAAACACTTCACTTCTACCCAAAGTTTTTGCTGATGATGCCGTTCAGAAGGACGATGAAAGTTCCGTGACCAAACCATCCAGCTCAGAGAACAAACCCACATCAAAAAAAGAAAGTCGAGATTCTCTGGAAGTCACGAGGCCGATACTCCTTCTAACAATCGGAGCAACACACCTGAGCTACAAATCTTCTCCACCATCTCAAAATCTCGACTTTCAACCTGAGGCGTCATAATTTTTCTTTCAACTACCAGGGCAGAGTTTAAATGGTTTGCATTATTTCTCCTGGTTAGGGTTTTTTTAGCGAGTTAGTTTTCTACAGGATGGAGTCTCTAACCGCATTTTCAACCCTCCTCCTTTGCCCGAGCCTGGATCCGTAAGATTCCCATCCCACAAGTTCATTTCGTGCTTCTCTAGACAGCATTAGTGCAACTCCCTGAGTGTGCGGGGCATTTTCCTTTTTGTGACCGGAGTACAGCAGCACCTCTCCAATACCTAACCTTTGTTGTCCAGCCTGCGCCCAATGGGTTTCGCTAATTCCGGGTACTGCCAATTTGTATTTCCTCATTTTCGTTGGTTTTTGACTTGTCCTCAGATCACCGCTCATCACCTTTATTTCAACGAGAATATTCTTAAGTTCTACAGCCTGTTGTTTGTCGCAAATATTTGGTTAACATGCATCATTTTACAATATCCTCCATCAGTTCCTCCAGATAACGACCAATGGAATATGCGAGTTCTTTAAGCCTTTATTGGAAGCATTCAAATCATCAGTCTTGTTAGGTCAATTAAAGTGTCTTATGTTTTCATGTATCCACCACTCTCGAGAAGTTCCTAATATCAAATCCAGAATTGCGATTCAAGTTGAGTAATGTCCAAACATAAAGTTTCAGGTAGTACCCAGTCGATACCAGGGATTGATGTACTTACAACATGATCCCTCCACTGTTGTAAACAATAGATAGCCAGAATACGTCAGTGAAGAAAGCGGACTGAACCATTTCGGCTCAATGAAACCATGATTTGTAAAAACTAGCTTTTATTTTCATTTTGGTATGCGGAAGTTGGTATCACAAGAAGTTCTGTCCGTATAAAGACTTGTAACAACGAAAGACTATCGTTGAACGAAATACTATGATAAGGAGTATAAAGGAATTAGCTGCAGAAGAAGAATCCATCAACGTTATTCATCGAAATCCTGCCTCAGGAAATACAGAACCGAACCAACATAACCGAGCACAAATTTACTGCTGAAAAATATGTGACTGTGAACGCTGATCAGCACTGTTTTCGTCTTCAACCTAGTACAGCCTTGAAATTACTCTTATAAGCCCAGACACGTAAAATAAATGTTGGTAAACTACCAGTTTGCCCTACGATGCTACTGGAACACAGTATTTCTCGTGAAAAGTTAAATATTGTTGGTAAAGTATCCTGCAAGGTTTTCAAAGGCAAAAATACACCTTAGAGATAATCCGCCGCTCGATTAATAGGTGTTAAATCTGACAGGGACACTGCAAACAGCACACCATTCGATTAACAAGAACGACGATTAGACCCAGAGAACATTGAAGCTCTTAAATCCATGCTTACGGGAACGAATACACTGACGTTATGGTCTTTCTTGGTATAAGTTCGCCACTACGGAACTTCCTTGATCTCCATGATCAACGGACTATGCTGAACCGTTTGTTGGTAAAGAACGCAAAATGGAGTTGGTCCGCAGAATATCAAGGAGCTTTCCAGAAAATCGAGCGACTTTTTGGCTCAAACTTCTTACCTACACGATACGACCCTTCAGATGCTTCAAATCATGGTATCGAGGCACAAGTCTCATATATTTTACGATGTGTCTGTAAAAGAGGTAGCACATACCGCCAAATTATTAATAACGACCGAACGCAGCTATGGCCAAATTGATAAAGGAGCTCTGTGAATTATTTTTCCTGTAAAAAACTTTCACAAAATGATATTGGACGGTAGTTTACCCTACTAACAGACCATGTACCATTATAAGTCGCATTCGGGCCCAGCAAGGGATCTCTGTAAACTCGAAAAATAGACTGTGACTATGGGCAACCACACATTTAGGCTGCGGTCTCAAGATCATCTACCAGTCCACCACAACTTCCGGATAAACCAATTACGTGTCTAGATGATAAGGCCTCAAACAAAAACTTCAGAAGACACTCTTAGCAGACATAAAAGCTGGAAGATTTTGAAGTTGTTGGACCTCTGGTTACCTGTCAGGCCATTAAAGAAACCGCTGAAGATAGTGAGACATTAAGAGGTTTTAGAAGCTATCTTTCCACCATATTAAAAGTTTGGTCCAAAGTTATGCCTATTGGTCATCAATGAACATATATCAAAGATAAATACCATAGCTGATCGTCCGGTCTGCAAGCTTTTCAAAACCCTGTGGAATGTGAACCACAACTGTGACCTTAGCCTTGTGGGATCCTTGGAGGGACTACATACAGATTTTGCTGGTTCAATGCAAGGTAAAACGCTTCTAGTTATTGTAGTAGCATTAACATAGTAGCCGGAAATATGTATTGTGCCGAACTGTTTAGCCGAAGAAATAAACAACAAGTTGTCTAGGTTGTTTAGCTGCTTTTGGGTAATGAAGGCAGTTATATTTTTAGTTTCGATATGAGGGAAAGAGTATTCGACAAATCATACGAGGGCCGATATCAATGGGAACCAGGGACAATTGTTAGAAGAACGGGGAGATTTTCGTATGAAGTGTGGTGAGCATTCGAAACATGCATTAGATATACGGACTAACTTTATGAAGATAGAAAGTTGTATGCACAGTGGGGGCATAAATGTCGTTTGTGTACATAATCCTGTTCCACAGTCATCTGAGGGGAATCGTGATCAACGGTTTTAAGACGAAAGCTCATTGCCGTATGATTACAGCCGAAGGGTTTAGAGTCTCACAGGAGTTATGACCGACACTTGATTGAATACGAATAAGTTCATCATAGCATAAATAACCTTGCAGAGGTACAGACGTGAAAATTATCTTTAAGTTAAAACTTCATGTTTAAAGGGCGATTCGGATAACTTGAGAAAAGCACTAACGACAGCTGTCTGTGCGAATCAGGATTTCCGAGGACCATTGTGAACACTATGCCTCTAGTAGTCAGATCTTATTCTGTCTTGGCGTAGATAATGATGTGTTTCCTTTTAATATTTAAAATAGTAATTTGTTTTTGACCAAATATAGCTTCCATTTATCATGACACCAGCAGTTGTTCAAAGTGGTTTCAATAAGACCTGAAATCCAACAGGTGATAGAAAATTCACATTATTAGTACCTGTCGGTTCTTCTGTATTTTATTTTTTATTTTCTCAACTATAGGAAGGTTTCGTGGAGGATCCCAGCAAAAAGGATCATTCAAGATATCACAATACGCCAAGTTATCAATTATATACCAAAAAGAATTAACGCTACAAACCCAAGTGTAGTCTATGTGTTACGCGAAAGATAACAAATTACAGTTACATTATAAATGGTATATTAAACAACAAAATAACAACAGTTGTTATAAAATGAATATTACTTGTAAGCTGCCCTTCGAGACAACACCCACAAATGAGTTAACTCGATTTATGAAGGTTCCTCTTCACGAATTGGCATTAACGGCGTAATGTGAAAGATTAAATCCGATAGTATTATTAAATAATGATCCGGGCTAAAACTCCAACGTAGTGTGGGGAGGCCTAAAAGGATGTTATATTACTAGTATGATCTTCACTCAAGGTCTGTAGCCAATGAAGCAGAAGAATAGACAGGGAATATAGTGTTTATGGTTTCAACAACTGCGGTAGTATATATATATATATAACCAAACAATTAAATGCGTTTCTTTGCCATTGATACAGAGAAACAATAGGTAATGGATATAAATATGTTTACCTATAAAGTGTGACCAGTAGGAAAAAATGCGGTTTTTATTTAGTTGTTACAAAAATCATTGAATGTACAAGTCACAATGGTTTTGGGTGATATTCCATAACTTTGCAATCTTCTGTATCACATAACTCATCGTAATGTTAGGTATGGATGACCCGAGGTCATTTTCGAATATCAAGACACTCGTGAAAATGAGTGGTTACCAATAATTGGGATATTGTTTATTGGACTCGCAGCGCTGTTTTCAGTTCGGTAAAAGCGTGTGCTTTTTACTTGTGTGAATGTTATGCAGGGGAACACTGAGATCAGCGGTAAAGGTAAGCTAAAAATTATCACGACTTAGTTTGCCGGTCAGATGACCTCTGTATTAATCCCAATCGACGTAACCTTTTGCAGTCTGAGGTACCAAAATTTAGTTTTTTTATAATGGCTTAATATAGGTTGTGTCTTTCTTTACACCAGTAGCAGATAAATTGAGATTGAAAGACAGTCAATCTGTTCATAGACCACGTCTTGATATTGTTGAAGAAAAGCCGCGGACAAAGACCATAGTCGTGAGGTTAAGCTCCCCGGGGATGTCAGAGGGCGTGCGAACTTTGGGTAATTTGAATAACTTCTCGTTCATCAAACTTAAAATCCACCAAATAGATCACAAAAATAGTGTGGGAGTCATCACTGAATTTCAACCGATGGAAGCTTCTAGAACCAAATCACCAATAAGTAGTCCTACCATTACAAATGGGTCTGTGCCACATAAAGAGTCAGAACCTAATATTCTGTATATGGACACGAACACAAAAAGACCTTCAGTACCTTGTATTTCATCGCATGCACCGAATCGAAAGTCACTGTTTACTAATTTGATACGCAGACTTTCAACTCCGCGAAGCAAAACATCTCACACTGATAATTCTTCTGTACTGTTAACCAAAGGTGAGACAGGTATGTTACGCACAGACTCTGGATCAAGCAATCCAAGTCCACGAAAGTTACGTAGGTGGTTTACAAAGCGTATGTGGAAATCTGCAAAACTGTCTGATCAACTACATGAAACACGTAAGTATAGTTCTTTTCATCTTCCTTAGTGCACTAATACTTTGAACTTTTCCGCATACTATCATGCTCTTCGTAAAACTATCAATTAGAAAGGTTTTATGTTCAATGTAGAAGATATCAAAACCCGTAACAAACTTGCCAAGGTTTGTTGTTTTGGCAGATACTAGCGTATGACTTCACACAGTTCATGTTTAAGTATTCCCTTTTATAATGGAGAAAAAAAACATGATATTTATTAGTGCGCTGAAATGGACCCATTTCTCACGGGTCCTCTTGTAGAACGTTTATAATTGTCAGTACTTATTTGTCTCATTCTTAATCTGCATATCACCGGATGTTTACTAGTTAAGTGAAGTGTCATTGGTAAGAAGATCATGCTTATTAATTTCTGAACCATGTTTGCTGTCGGTTTGCTTAAAATCCTAGTTGTCAATCAAAAAAATGCAAGTCACTATCTTGTTGCCGAAAAGTACCTTTCAGCTACTTTCGTAGTGGATTAGGTCACTGATAGCAGTAACAATGATTAATTCTTGAGGTTTAGGTAATTAAGGTTGCTAATGTTGGCGATGTCCACCATTAAAGTACGGATTATTCGAAAAGGCGCGATTAATGGTAGTGCTAACATGTTTTTGACTTATTACGAGACACCTTTCCCCAGGTAACTAATAAGACCAATGTTATAATATTATCTGATCCTTTCATTTGACGGTGCAATCATGTCTATGTTGCATCATCCACCGGTGCGTTGTACAGGAACTAAACACCGATGCCTTAACGTCGCAGCATTTCCTCGGTTATCAATAGAAATAGGGATTGCATTGCCAGGGATGTACGAGTCATGAGTCGCCGGACTATACACAATAAGTTTCGTGATTATCCAATCATTATTATTATTGTTATTATTATTATTACAAATTAAACACAAATATTGGTACAAAGGGGCACCAGATACATACGCGCCACAAAAATATCATTTGATTTGTGTGAGGGCCATAATACTGCCCGGGTTCTCAGACCGAAGCAGTTGGTTTTCTTAGGGGGCCACACCCCGAGCCTTTGACCTAATAATCTGATCCACAAGGCTGTGAAGCATCGTAAAGAGATGCAGTCCTATGGTAGACAATAGAATATATTGTGAATACTTGGTACCATAACTTGTAAACTGCTGGGAGATCCATGCTTTTAATCATAAGCTATTCCCAACGTGAAATGGTTATTGACCTTGCTTGATTTTTCATAAATTCAACAAGTCTATCGCTAAGTCAAATAAGGTGAAGATAATGGTAGCATCTGGTGTCTGTTGGTGTAGTCTTTAAGGTGAGTTTACTACAACCTGGTTCTTATCTGTCACTTTATGAGGGGACGAAACTAATCTGATTTTTAAGTGCTTGTCAGAATTTTCGAAGCCGTTACATATTTTCCCAGAAAATGTTGAGGGGACGTTAAACTAAAGGGTTATTCCCAATATCCTACAACTAGTTTTCTATTCCATTTTCATCCGAGTGCTCGTTATGTTTATTTTTGTTAGTTCGCTTTTTATTGACGTGCCCTGTACTGGTTTACGCGATATTTTGGACAAGGAGGCAGGACAATTTTTGTTTTAGTTCCAGATTTGTGGTGCTTCGTAGCCGAAATAATCTTATTGGACAGCTTATTCAAGCGTAGGAACAATCGTCATAGGTCATTTAATCATTTTCAACCAATTTTAAGTTGATTAAAAATCTATACAAATGTTTTCTGATATATTCCTACGAGTCAATTATACGTAAGGTTCTAGAGGTAGCAATCATATTCCTTGTCAATTCTTGTTATAACTGCAAATCTGTTCTTATTACCACACTAAGCCGCTTGGTCTTGTTAATGTTTTACTCTCTTCTGTGCTCATCTCATCACCTATGTACTTGTTTGGGTTAACTGGGTAATTACGTTGATTACTCAATTGGAGTTTATTAAGATGGGTTTCATTTGTTGGGAAAGTTAATTGGATATCATTTATCAAAAGTTCCACGAGTTCACTTCATATAATTCAATGGCTTTAATTAGGAACATTTGCTAAATATCTCGTTTGATGTATATACTATTTGTCAATTCTGTCTTTTGATTTAATTAACTTCACTTTCCCACAGATTGTAGCACAAATTCACAGCCTTCATTAACCAGTGTTGATCCTGTTTTAGAGATTCAGTATGCACACTCCGCAGTTGACGACTTATCAGAGGAGTTGCAGTCGGCCACCCAGGACTTTGGGTCTGCTCCAGTCCCCCGTAAGCTCATATTCATGCCACATCCAACGAAATCCCCCTCACCACATTCACAAGACGTTTGCAGTCAAAATCCTAGTTATAAAGTCACAGTAAGTTTCTTGTCAATTGTGTATTTATATGTTTGTAATCAAATTAAAGATACCAAGTTTCGTAACGGCCAACTATTCAATATTGACTCCAAAGTATGTTATTGAATTCCCTGAACAAATTATTTAGCCTGTCAGTCATAAATAATGTACGACGTCGTAAAGTGTGCACTGGGTCAGGTTTTCAGATGCTCTGATACGGTTGAGGGCAGGGGGAGTCCTATCTCCCTCTCGAAATACTCTCACATGGCCACGCGTATATAGCCACTACCAGGGAAGCCCTACTCACTGCCTTATTGCAATGGGGGTGTTGCTTGCGAATTCGAGAGGACGAAAAGTGAATGTCCGACGCTTTAATCGGGTTGGTGGATACGGAGGGTCTATCTAGAGAAGTTTAAAAACCTTGATTTCAAACAGATGATGCACATGCACTACACAATTGTGAAGGAACAAATGACGTATGAACCTATTGTTGGTCACCGTTTACCATAAGACTGCATCTCATAACGTTGGTTCATTGCCTTGTGGAAAAGAACTAAACAACGGAACAGGTTTACGACTGACATATATTCCCACATTATTAATTAAAACTAAGTCTCAATGGACATCCGAACAAGTGGGATGATCTACCACGTCTTGGTGACCTAGTGATGAAATAAAGCTACAATCACATGAATTAAAATCGCAACATACAATTGTAGGTGAACCATTGAAGAGAGTAAAAGCAAATTCAGTTAATTCATTAGCGAAAACAGTGCAAACGGTGTGCAGTTCGGAGTCACGTAAATGTTGGTAAATAAACGTACTCGTATTTGTTCAAGTGTTTGGCATCTTGGAATTAAACAGTCGATAAAGTCGTTTGAAAACGTGAAATATCCAAAGTTAGATCGACACTAGTTCATATTTACAGATGTAGCTACGCCACCGCCACACCTTTTCTTATAAATTGGTTGATCCTGACAATAAATATTGAGACCTCGTAATAATATTAAACAATCATCGTGTCAATCATTTAACCCGAATTCTTGAGTTGTGATCACAGCGCAATTACGATACATGTTTAGACTCAATAGTAGATTAAAACTGTTCATTTTACCAACTAGGGATCGGAACTTGGAAGTTAGCAATTTGAGAATCGACATCTGATTAATGTTCATTCTTTTCAATGCATATTGCAGGACAGCATAATGTCTCTGGCTGTATTTTTTTGTATTTTGTAAATCGGTAGGTCGTAAGCTTTTCATACACATACTTGAATAGGATATGCGATTGGTAAATATAATGTTGTGTTAAAGTAAGCAAAAAGAGATAATTTGTTGAAATATCTAGTGGTAGGAACAGGTAGCCCAGATATTCCATCAGGTCGATAGTTTATATAAATCTAGCACAAATAAAAAAGTAGTAAAACATTTACATTCTACAATAATTAAAATAGTTATCCAAAAGACAGCATCACATCTTGGTCATGAAAAAGTGTTTGGTTCTTATGTATATTTTCTAGGCTCGAGATGCTGGCATTGACTACAACATCCATGTTTCTATGCAATCTGAACGTAAGTTGAAACTTCCATGTAGTTTTCATTTTTCCTTGTCAAAAACCGAATTATGACCTGTTAGTCTTCATTTATACCTTTTTATTTAAGGTAGAGGTGTAAATTTATTAAATGACAAATTAGTAATTTCTGCATTCTATTGAGTTTATGTCCTAGTACGGCCGAGGGTGTTTATCGGCTATCATGAGACTGCATTTCATAACGTCGCTCCACTGCCTTGTAGATTAGACCTTTAAGTCAAAGGCTCGGGAAATGGCCCTCTAAGAAAACCACATACTTCGGCCTGGGCACCCGGGCAGTATCCCAGCCCTCACATAAATCAAATGATAACTACTGCTGGAAAAATAAATTTTTCTTGAACGCTCATTCAGATGAATCATTTGATAACATTCGTTTCTATTTCTTTTACCATACGCTACTTGTGTATTCCCTTTTATTCTTATTTTGTGTATTTTTCGGCTTATACAGCAGCTAGCCCATGTTAGAGACCCTGCCCTATCTAAACGATCTCCAGTCACTGTGTGGTCGAAAGTGAATGCTTCCACCAAATGCGTTCGACAGATATTGTAGTACTAGCTGGAGACTTGAATGCATAGGTTGGGCGTCCAGGCACAGAAAAGAGTCGTTTAGGTGGCCGATGTGGACTTATTGGTCTCAGGTCAGATAACGGGGACTGTCTACTGCAACTTTGCGCGAACCACAACCTGTTTCTAGCTAGCACTAACTTCCGGCACAGTCGTCGCCGATGTGCCACCTGGCGTCCTCCCACTGTATCTCAAGCCTGGACTTAGATTGATCACATCGCGACCAGCTACCGCTGGCATGGTTGTGTACAAGACTGCCGCTCCTTTTGCAGTACCTATCTGGACTCTGGTCATGCCCTGGTCTGCGCCAATCTTACCTTACTTTTCAGTGGCCAACGAATTGATCGTCATCAACGGATTGATGTCAGTAAATTGGTTGCAACTTCTGTTGCAAGTAAGTATGGAACCGAGCTACCCTCTAGGCTACCTACCATTCCACCGAAAAGTATAGATGAGCATTGGTTGCAACTGCATGACGCCATGAAAACGGCAAGTAAAGCCGCTTTCGGCTTCGCAAAACGTCCCGCTTATAAGCACTGAGTTTTTTCAGACTCTTTACAACTCATCGAAGCCCATCGGTCCACTCCGGGTGACCGTGAGTTTGACCATTAGCGAAGGCTGTTACAAAATTAAATTGGGCAAAGCTTACGTAAGGGCTAAGAAGCCTGGTGATGGGAGCGTGCAATGAGCTGAAAGCAGCAGCTGCATCTGGTGACTGCCGTAAGCTCTTTCAACTCATCCGGGTTTACTGATGTGTGTGAAACAATCCATGTAGATGACAGAACACCAATCAACAACATCTATCGACATCTTGGACGATAAGCAGAGTTTTTCGAGTAGTAGTTTAACTGGCCTGCTGCCCCGACAACTTAGATCGGACTGTTCTGCTCTCCATGACCGGTGACGACTGATCCACCTAACGAGGCTGAACTCCAACTTCTAAAGCGCCACATATCACCAGACTCAGATGACTTAACTCCGGTCCTTTTATAGATGGTGGCGACTTTTTGGTTATTGAACTGACTGATTTTGCAAAATTTTGAGAATTAAAAAGTGTGCCAACCTTCTGAAATGAGTTAACAGTCGTTCCTATCTTTAAGAATAGTTTACTTTACCTACACAACAACTATCATGGGGTAAGCCTACTGTCGATTGCATCCTAATTATTAGGTTCGTAGATTGTTCAAATCCAGGGAAAGATTGGCTCGCGAGGGGCAGGCTGCTTTTCGTTCTGATCAAGGATGTATTGGCCATATATCTTCACACTCTGCCAAATGTTAGAACACCGTCATACCTATTATAGGTCAACAATCCTAGTGTTTCTTGACATTAGGACTGCCTTCGATTCGTTGGACAGGACTGTTCTCTGAGATTGTCTATTGAAATAGAGTGTGCCTGAGAAGTGTTTTAACATTGTGAGGGTCCTATGTACAAACACATCATACAGTGTGAGGGCATACAACCACCTCCCTCCATTATTTCATTAAAGCAGTAGGGTTAGACAGGGTTACCCAGTCTCACTATTCCTCTGCGACTTTGCTATCGATGATATTCTGGAAACAGTTCTGATGGATGTAAGTGATGGCGATGTGGATCTTTTGCCTGGAGAAAAACTCGACCTTGAGTATGCGAATGATATTGTCTTCCTGTGCGATTATACTCAAACTATACACTTAGTCAGTGTCCATAGGTACGGTATGTGCTTTGCACCTTCGAAGTGCAAAGTACTTCTACAAAACTGGGAGAACCCTGATCCTGCACTCACCCTGGTTAATGAGCAGATAGGAGTAGTCGAGAAGTTCGTGTGTCTAGGTAGCCGCATAAGTGCTGGTGGTGGCGTGAGTGATGAGATCAATTCATGTATAGTGAAAGCCAGAGCAGTTTATGGCATTCTGCGCCATCTTTGGCACCTTCGTAATGTTAGTCTGACTGTAAAAGGTCGGATCTACAACGCGTTGGTGAGAGTAGTTTTGCTCTATCCTTGTGGAACCTCGCCTCTCCGAGTTGAGGATGTTAAACAACTCTCTGTGTTTGATCATCGTTGTCTCCGAAAGATTGCTGACATCCGGTGGCAGCACCATATTAGTAATGTAGAAGTTCAGCATCGTGTGTTCTGGCACAGCGACGATAGTTCATTTGGTGTCACTATCTTGAAAAATCGATTCCGATGGTTTAGACTTACTCTACGAATGTTGTCCCAGAGAATTCCACGTCTTGCATTATTTGCCGACGCGGAGACGTGGTTAGTGTATGACGTGGTATCGTAGTGTGAAAGAGAGCTGCGCAGGACTGACTTCCGTTGGTCCTTCCCGACTCCTTGGCTGGGGTCCGAGAGATGGTGCAACACAGTGGCTAGAGACGTTATCAGACATGTTTCAGGATAAGAGTGGCGATCCTGCTGTAACTTTCTTTTACTTCATTAAAGTAAATATAGCTTCTTTAAATAGGAGAATTCTTTCTTATTGTACCTTCGCTAACTGAACTGCCTCTCCTATTATTATTATTATTATTATTATTATTATTATTATTATTATTATTATTATTATTATTATTATTATTATTATTATTATTTCGCTATCATACACTAATTTCTTTTCGTTGCTTTTTTTACTTATACGCACTTTATATTCTCTATCCCCTCACATTCTCATTGTTATTGTGTGGCGCATATGTATTTGGTGCCTATTTATACCAATATTTTTGTGTTCAAATAAATAAATGTAGTTGTCCTAATTAGTGATTATGCAACTGAATTGATAATAACAAAGTAAAGTCCGGGGGTATTTTGGACAGATTGTCTTTATTTAGACAAATAAACTACCTAAAGTTGATGTTGGTTGGGGGAAATATTTATGAGAGGTCGTGCGTATCAGTTTTTCATCGTTATTGATGTTTTTTTTCACTTGACTCCGATGACTTAACGACTTCTTTAAATTAACTTTTGAGTTGCTGTCTCGTCAACTAAAGTTTTATCCACTTAAATTTCATCATTCTCTAGTTAACCTTCAATAATAGGACCTGTAATGGAAAGCCTTATAGTCAGTACAACTCTATTAGGTTGTATCAAGAAAGATTATCCGCTACTACGGAAAGATATGTATAATGCGGAAAATGATTTGAAAAATGTATTATCATATTGTATCTGAGTAATGTTAGTTTCGTATGTCTGTTAGATTCCAGCAGAGATATTTGTACGTAATGTACGGTTACAGTTCAGAAGACTTAAATTCACTGATTTACTTAAGAATGTGATTCCCTATATTTCTCGAGGTATTCGGGTCAATTTCCTTACCGGTCTCCACTTGTAATCATACAATTGTTATTGTTAATTAATGTTTTAATAGGTTTTTATATCCTTTAATGTTTGTTTCGACAGGTATTTATACATTTAAATCTTTATACTCTTGTTTTATTCACTAGTTAATGATAGAATGGAAACTGAAGTCAAAAGCTCCCCAAACTGTTCACCATCTTCTTTATTTTGTACCACTGGCATTCATTCCCCGGTAGCTAGTTCCCCACTACTTTCTGCTGTGACACGTGGAAATAGTATACGTTCTGTTGGAAACGAAATTCACCATTTCGGGGTACCATTTCACCATAACATAAATAACATTGAGCCAAATAATCTTCGCCGATCAGAAGCGTTAATTTCACAATCATGTGCAAAACTCCCACAATCTGTAGCGTCTCAATATCCCATATCTCCTTTGGCAGTGTGTAGCTGTAAGTACTGTGACTGGTTTTTATACCAATTTATACTTATCAGTTAGAACGTGAGGTGACATACATTTTCTGTGTAAAATACGGTGAACAATACGATGAAAATTTTTCCAGTTGGTCTATATTTTCCCCTAAATTTAAAGTAGAGTTATTATTTTTTACTTCAGATACGCCCAGTTATCTCAGCGCATCAGTGGCAGCATTCGGTTACAGTAAATATTACTCGGCATCAAAATCAATTCATAATCTAGTCCATATGGAAACTTCTCCTTTAGTAATTCAGCACGCTGTTGGACATAAGCTATCCATTCCCCGTTCTCATAGCAGGACATCAGGCATTAAAAATGAAGCAGTTGCTTCCTCAATTTCAAGTACAGTGACTAACGCTTTCGATGAGAAGTCACGAGTTGTGGGCAAAATGTGTGGAGATCCTGGATCTAATTTGGAAGATTCTCAGTCATCTTGTCGTCGAACCGAGGTATTTTCACTATTTTTACATTGAGTTAATAAATTTGCTTTATATCATCATTTCCTTCGGTAACTAAAGTGACTTCAACTCACTTCACACTTAATAGTTTGATGATAAATGTCTCTGCATTGTTGCTCACTGTAACATTCAGTTGCTATAGTTATTTATTGACTCATGACTGAGTCCAACAAAGTGACGAGAGGTCAGTTTATGATTTAGTGTTATATAATAAAATGTTGCATCAAATCAACGTCTAGGTGCATTTATGGACTTTGGTTTTAATTATACATTATTTAAAGTTGATTATTGTGTTTGTTATAGTTTCACTTATGTAATTCAAGGAGTTTCAGTGAGGAACTGTGACTAGTGAGGTTGGGTGTGAGACAGTTATTCACCGTACACCTTGTAGTTTATATTGAACATATAAGTGAGTTTCGAATACCACTACTGACTTTTATTTTGAACTGTTTGATAACATCTCATGTCCCTATAATTTTTGATTTATAAAACACCATTCATGGAGTTGTTGTGGACCAATAAATGCTAAATCAACACAACTATGATTCATTTGGGAGGAAATGTATAGAACTGTCTGGCTCTGTTTCTTTTTACTTATTTGCAGTATCGGTAAACGAAGCTTTACATGATACTTGCTGGAACGTCATGGGCAAATTGTATCGTAGCCTCTTAAATTTGTATTTAAAGATGACATTGTTGGTTGAACCGTAATCTTTCAATGTACCTCACAATTACTTACAGGGTATTACCATTAAATGTGAAGAGTCTTTTGGAATGTATGTGGGGCAAACTAAAAGCCCTCGAAAATCGTCACCTCTAAGAGGTCAGGTTTCATTGGAATAAATCAGAACTACTTGCTTTTTAGGGTTCACACTTAACACTGTATGGTGAAGTTGATATTTCGACGTTGCTAAGGATGATTTATAGTATCATAAGTCTCTCTGGCTTTTTGTGTATAAACATTGATATTCCCCATCATGTCTTTTGAAGTAATAAATCTGCACCATCGCTATCGATAGCTAACTTTAAGAAGAACGATGAAAATAATCAACCTAAATCATAAAAGTGAAAATGAAGCCTCGAAATTTCAGGTTTTCTTTCGTATACGATCAAAGACTAGCGCTTCTGATAAGTTTCACCCTAAAACCGTACAACTACTCAGTGCTAAGTATAAAGGTTCAGCGTTTATTTCATTATACTAGGGTTTTGAACAGTTTATGCTTTTCCTAGTATGTCTTTATATGCAACGCCAACATTTTATGAAAATAATATTTTCCACCTTTGTATTTATTTTCTTATTTATTTAGTCTGGTCGCGATGGCGTTTGTAATAGTAGCACAGAAAATGTCAAGTTGAGAAGAAAGAGGGTAAGTATTTGCGGTCAATGTATTTTGTGTAATTATTATGTGATATAATGGAATTTTCTCACTGTGTCTTAAAGTTCTATCTCAGGTTTATTTAAGGAGGGATAAAGAACGGTTAAATAGTCAAGTTCACATGCATTTTATTTATTGAAACTGCCAGTTATCTTCCTCTCTCTTTGTGTATGTACGCGCGTATATTAATATGTCCGAATTCGCGAAACTTCATGTTGTGTTCATTGTTTAGCTGCGTTCTAGAAATACCTAATTTACTGTGCATTAAAAAAATACTAACAAAGAAATTCAGTATTGGTGCTATTTTTGGAGGTGAAGTTTTGTCAGTAAACACTAACCAATAATACTTTTTCAATGGAATGTGTTTGTGGTAGCCATAATACCTTCTCTCATTAGTTAAACTAACTTCCAGTTTCAGATAGTTTATAATTGTACTATAACAACGGTTCAGTTTTGTAGTGAAATGCTTGGTTGAAAGCTGCAGTATTATTGTAAACTGGTATGTGTATGATGTGCTTCTTGTGTGACCTGTGTATCGTTCTACCAAGAGGATTCCCACTTATCGTCGGTGAATATATAAACGTTTCCATAATGATGACACCAACTAAGATATATTTTGTATCATTTTGGTTGGTTGCTTGACTTAATCTTAGTCAATTCGAACATATTGAAGTTAGTCAGAAGCAAGTTCTTCCATCTTTAAACTACTACAGTATTTCATCTTCTATAATCGTAAACTTTACTTGCTTCTTAATTCGTATACTCGTTCTCTAAGTGACATTTTTCATTGGTTATTTAAATTTGTTTGTATGATTTTAGACAACTAGTAACACCAATAACACTGATGATCAAGAACACTGGAATCGATCTTCACTCATTATGTTAGCAGTTGCTCATGCTAGTCCTCGTGGTCGTGTTGTAACTCCAACAACAGTATTAAACAAACCTTTCTTTCCAAGCTTATCAGATTCTATTACTGCTTATAGCGAGGTAAATGAGAGTAAAGGAGAGCTCAATACTTCAATACAACATAAAACGGAATTAGGTGATTATTTATTCTGTTTTTTGATAACATTTTAATAGTACAGTTATTTTCTTAAAAAATGATTACTGTAAAAGGCAGTAGATAACAGTTTTGTTCTTTAGAGTAACTATTGTTTATATCCTATGAAATTAAACACGAATTTCAGGTTGCGTGAAAAGCAACACAAAAATCTTTACATACAACTGGCCAATAAGTAACGAGTGATAATATTTCTTGGCTGTTCAAAATGTGTTAATTGAATGGAATTTCGTTCCATCGACTAATTGTCAATCCCTTAAATCCAATGCATCATTAATTGTTATAAGCACCCACTTTAGTCTTTCTTTGTATTCTAGTCGTTTGATTCATCTGGATAATATACTTTTCTTTACTGTTTTAAAGTTACTAACTCATGAGTACGATCAATTCACATAAAATATGCGAATTTGAGAAATGTGTCTATAACATATGTTCATCATGTCCTAAGGTTTTATGACCTTATCTATATAAGATCGGCTAGTGGTTTATATTAAATTTTGTCGCGAAATCCTTGAATGTGTTTGATAATTATATTCCTTGCAATGTTTTATATTTTATTTTATTGGCTACGGACATAAATTTCTTCATTCAGGGAAAAAAGATTAGAACAGTAGAAACTTTTCGATCGGTTTTTCCTCATAATTCTACACTATAACGACAATCTTAAAGTCTATCCCAATCAAGTTTTGGTGTATTGGATAAAATAAAATTACCAATTCAAAAGTTCTTACGGAAATAGTTACAAATGATTTACAAAGCAGTTAAAAGATAGATGGAGTGGACAAAGTGACTACTATTAATTCATGAATGAAAAGGAATATTTATTTATAGAATTGATAGTGCGCATTGTACAATCTAAGAGAATTAGTAAAATTTTCAATCAGAAGTTGACTAATACTAACAATCACATGCACATTTAGAGAATGTTATTGTTATACAACAAGAAAAAGAGAACATAAATTTCAAGAGAAAAAAGGTGTGTAGACTAAATCATTTCTATGTAACCCATTCTAGTTTTAAGTGGTTCCGATTACCATATCGATATTGGGTTCATGACCCGACGACTAACTAAATACCATGAGAACTGATGCTGTTTTTTGGTTCGATTCTGTTTATGGAGTAGTTTTAGATGTCTCAAACTGGTAAAAACAATTGTATAGTATCTTATTATTTGAATTAGAAATAACAACTAAATAGATAATTCATATTAATGTGTGTTGTGCACACTTGTTCCTAATACTACTGATTCATTTGCAACATTTCAATTTATATTTTTTGTTCAGTTAAAATTATGCCATGTTTTATGTACAAAAGAAATCATAAACGGGTTGTAAATATGTTATAATATAATTTCGAATTATCCAAGTTTTGAGATTGAAATTAGATTTACTTCTCATCTACTGTTGTTCACGTTCAAATGTGTAATCACTTACTAATTGTCGAGTATATGCTACACTGTGTATCTTGTATTGTAATGTTGATAGTCGATTATTTGTCTAAAAAAACTATAAGTCCATTTGAAATATTGTTTTTTTCCTTTTGTTTAATAACTAACTAAATGAACTGATCACATTTTTATTTTCTACAAGTTGATACATTCAGTAGCAGCACTGAACTACCATCTGAAGGAAATTTATTTGTAATCACCAATTCTATCAAAGACAAACAATCACTCAATACTGATTATACAACGTTGTTAAATGAATCAGAAATTAAAGTGGATGGAAATTTTTATCTTCAACAAGTAGATCAAACAGAGAAAGAATTATTGAATAAAGTTTGTGAAATTGAAACTGATCTTAATAATGAAGTTGATTTGAATGATGAAGGTAATAGTATCATATAATATGTTGTTATTAGATAATATTATTATTTTCGATGTCTGTATGTACAATTTATTTTTTTATTTTGCCTAAATGCAGCTGTAATTTCTCTATTTATTCAAGATAAATGGATTCTATTTAATGAAGTTGACTGTGAATGTACTGGTATTTAATGAAAGGAACGTATTTCCCTATCTTTCCTTTCATTATTTAAGTAGTTAGTTGAATATTTCATCAACAAATTCACAAGTCTTCAATAATTTAAGTTGCAATTCAATGTAGCTTGTTAAAAGATAATCAAGGTAATAGGATTTAGGACATGTGTTAAACATTTATTTACTAACATAATGGCGATTTTCATGTCAGAAGAATAGTATTGGTGAAACTAGGCTCTCTGAGTTATGTGTTTTAATCAAAAGCTTTCATTATCTTTCTAGATGACATCAACACAAACTTCTGATAAAAGTGAGCCATTAAAATGTGTTTTTTCAATGTATGAATACAGTGGTCTTGAGTGCTGTTAGAGGTATGAGGGCAGTTATCACTTCCCGGCTGCCCACACCGTGGAAGGGTTCTCCTAGAGGTACCTGAAAAGGAAATTGGGTTAGAAGTGGTCTTAATGACCTGAGAGCGTGACCACAGTGCCCAAGGGACAACTGCTTGAGGTCGGTCACACACGACCTTTTTGTGGGTAGTTTTTGTGTTAGCTCCGTTCTCTAAAGGGCCTTACCGCCGGAGACCGAAATTCGTGGGATAAGGCGAGGTGTGCATTTTTAGGATCGACCTTTTCTAACTCCACCCCTCCTTGTGGGAAGGCAGCATCGCTGTCATGCTGGTTGTCTGAAGGAAACACCTTACTGCTGTCACACCTCTGTACAGTCAGCAGTACGACTTCGCCTTCGGACCTTGGGTTTGCTGCTTTTAGTCTTACCGCTCTTCAACCAACCTGCCTGGCATGGTAGAACATTGAGGAACGATTGTTCCAGCCAGTATAGCTCGATTGAATCATCACGATAGGCAAGCCCGACCACCACGTCAAGGTAGCAGCAACGGTCATAACGTTCTTCCTTCCTATACTATATCCTTATATACAACCTATCTTTTATATACTACCACCACTAAATTAACTATTTCTATGAATCCGGTGTTCATCTTGCTGTGCTAACGAGATATGGCAACTTGGACCGATGCATATGTGTGCCTGGTCCTACGTTGTAGCTGACTGACTGACTGTCCTTTCAATATCGAATTCGATTGATTATTAACACATACTGTTGTTTTGTGGACATTTGATCGTCTTCTCCCCTTACCTAATTATCGGCTCTGTACCTGTTTATCTTGTTTTAAATGGGTTGATAATATGTCTATTTCACTACTTACTGGTCACTCATGTAAGTATGAATCTTCTAAAAATTCTCTCTTTCTTTGTGCTACCTCTATCCAAGATTTCAGCATTTCCAAGTCTAACGTTTCTACATCCATCGTTATAAGCAGAAATAATTCTTGAGGTTTTTAGTAACTAAGACAAAGATGAAAAGGGTGATCGTTTTGTGCATTGTAATTTTTTTCGTAGTTCTTCATGAAGTAGATGGTTTGAATGTGTTGACAGCTTGATTAGCCATATTTTCGATGACATAATATCGACATTGTATGTGTTGAACACTGAATACAACACGGAAAATCTAAAGCTTCAGGTGCATAGCTCAAGTCTATGTAAAGTTCGTACTGTTCTCTTTGTCTACTAAGACAATGAAAATTTCATGATTAGAATAGTTAGCTCGGAAAGTGTAACTTCACCGAAATTTGGTTGCTTCCTGACTATTCGAACACGAAAAAAGAACTAAACGTTATAATTCAGTATAACACTCCCATAAACATGTTTTTAAATCTTTTGTTACTAATACGGTAATAAATAATTTTTATACAACATAAGCATTTTGGAATAGTTTCTGGAACAAACATTCTAACTGACTCACTAGAAAAATCCTTTTATTATCCTAATGTTCATTTGCAATTGATCTATGATAGGACGTATACATTTTTGTTACTTGTATATATTATTGTTTAACTAAGTTGATATACCAAGATCCTAATTTACATATATCCTATCTCTGTTTATTTATTATCTATTCGAACACATAAATATTGGTGCAAAGAGGCAGCGAACACATATGCGCAACAAGTCAGTTGGTTTGTGTGTGGGGTGAGACACTGCCCCTTAGTCCAGACCGAAGCAGGTGGTTTTCTTAGGGAACCACTTCCCGAGCCTTTGACTCAAAGGTCTAATCTGCAAGACAATGGAGCGACGTTATGAGATGCAGTCCCATGGTAGCCGGTGACCAACAATAGGTTCATACGTCATTTTTTTCTTCACAATCGTGTGGCCCATGTGCACCATTGGTTTGAAAGCAAGGTTTTTCGACTCCTCTAGATAAACCCTCCGTATCTACCAACCCGATTAAAGCGTCGGATATTCACTTTTCGTCCTCTCGATTTCGTAAGCAACACCCCCATGTAGTTATCTGTAAAGGCAAACAAATGATCTTATTGTGAAAAAAAGTAGAAACCTGAGTTAGATATATTCTTGAAAAACTTCAGGTGGTGAATAATAAACATAATAAGTATGGGTCGTACTTGAGAAAAAAATCGCTATTTAATTTAGAGTTTTTAGAACTATTATTTACCGATACCTATAAAATTTATTTTTTGATCCGTGAAAGGATTTATATGATTTTGTCTCAATTAAAAGACTTAGTTTGTTTACAGTACATATTCTTTGATTCAAAAAAGATTTTAATGTGATTTATGTTTTATGAACGAAAAAAAACACGTAAATTTCTAAGCACCATGTTCAATCAAATTCATCATTACATAGGTATAAAATTAAAAATTAAGTGAATTATTTAATAAAGTCTGTTAGTCTCTTGAATGAAGTTTATGGAAAGGTTTTTCCCCTTTCTAACCTGTGCGTATGTAAGACGAAATCAATTGTCAGCTTTCATAGCATAGTACTTTAATTTGTCTAAAATTTTGTTGAGTTACCTATATTTCGTGATGATCAATTATTCATAATCCGTCATTTCAAATCAAGCTAACATCAGATGGAAAAAGTAGTTAGTTCTTGTTCAACTGTCAATTCTTATTCTTTTTGTTGGAAAATTTAGTTTCTGGTCTTTTACGAACTGCTTCTGGCAAAGCGAGACTACTGATTTCCGAAAAGTTTTGTCAATTTCGTGCTTTATGCCATCAAAACCTTGCCTGGGAGAATTCAAAAACAGTTGGGGCTGACAACAATTCGGTAAACGAACCTAATACATTAGTCACTTTAGTTAGTGATTTGGATGGTTTCTGGGCAATGGTATCACTTCAAGTAGATGACATTCGTGGTTTATTCAAACAAGTGGATTCTTTACGGGCTAACAATTGGCAACCAGTTGATAACTCACTATCTGCTACGCAAAATATCTCAGTAGGTGACTCCATTTCGTCAGAGAAACGAAAGGTATTATTTGAAAGCTCTTATTTATAGATTTTTTTTATAACAAGTACATTTCTATGTGTGACTGACTCCATGTTAAACTGTGTGAAGTTGGTTAAATTGTTGTATGTGTTTAGACTATTTATTTTGGTAAGATAATAATATGCTTGAATGAATTCTTGATGTTAAAAATAGAGTAAATGACTAAACACTCGCTTACACCATTTCTATTGAGTTCAAAGTCTTACAAATTAATTAGGTTTAGCCATTGATAAGTACGGAAAATAGCAGACTTGTTCACTATTTTAGATTCTTATAAAAAATGATTCGACAATTGGGTTGTATAATATCAGAAATATGTATATATAATTTGATATGACGAGATTAGAATGACACCTTAAGTCTAGGCATTAATTCTGTTGGATAGTGGATGACCTATACTTGTTATATCTTCCAATTGTTTTTTTTCGGCGACCTCTAATCATGTTTATTCTTGTGCTTAATATTTTATAAATGAAAATGTTATTCTGTTGGAAGATAAACTTCGTTCTACTGACCAGCTGCCTTGTTTTCTTAGTTTACGTAAATGAACCTGGCTTGTGATCAGCCATGTTTTATAATTGCATGTCATCTATCAATTAGCATTATATTCTTTCATTTTAACTGACGAAAATTCGTTCGTAGAACGATTAAATCCTACTTCATAGTAAATTATAGTCAACTAGTTCTTAATTTAGCTTTATTGTATTTTATGCTGGAAATTAGTAGAAGATGAAACGTTATTAAAATTTCAGTCATAAATGAACAGATCAAATGACTAGTAGTAAATAAAACACTTCAGCAATAAACAACCTCACTCTAAAATCAGAAAAGGATAGTCTTAACAATTAAGGCTATTATACTTTTTAGAAAAGCAATGATACATGTTAGAGTATTGTTTAAATAACTCTGTGAAGATAATAATAAGATAGTATTGTAAAATGTGTCAGTGTAACTTAAATAAGTCAGTCCTATAAGACACCAAGTATAAGAGGCCCTTAGAGGGTTCCCAGTCACTTTGTTATTTTCTTTTAAAATGCAAATATCTAGATAATATTGACCTGCAATAAGCTGGAAGACTTATACTAATCTCTCTCTCTCTCCATATATATATATATATATATATATATATATATATATATATATTTACCGTTAATCAGGAATGCTTTAATTTTTTTTGTATTTTCAATACTACTAACCGCTATGTAATACATCCTAAACATTTATAATTATTCATATATTTAACAAATTCTCTCACTGTGACCGAGTTGATATTACTCTGTATTTTATTGTTTTTCTTTCAGTTAAATCGTAAAGTTACTAAATCCACTGTAGCTAAACAAAACAATACGATTGCTCGACAACAGGCCCGTGAACGTCTTGAACACGCTAAACGTAATATGCAGTTAAAGAATTTGAATAGTTCACATGATGATAAGTCAACATTAAATATCACTGAAAATAAGCTTATATTTGTATAGAATTTTTACAAGAAGTATATCTTTCATTTTAATATTTGTAAACTAATCTTCTTTTTCTAAATAAATAAGGCAACAATTAAAATAAAATTGAAGTTATTTTACTGCAATATAAGTTATGGATTTCGTTGTATTGTTTAAAGTATTAAAGTTTTCTTTTTTGAGCATTATCTCCCGCTTTTTCTCAACGAATCCCTTTATATATATACTCTATATGTATTTATGTTCTTTTCATTTCCCCAGTTCCCTTATCCATGTTAAAGATATCAGAGATAAACGAACAGTCTTAGACTTTTTAATTAGACAAATTCATTTACTATTCACCTATAAGTAGCTTTATATCTCTTTGCCGATCCTGTCATATATTCGTTATATGAGATGGCCTTTCATTATTTTTAATTGTTCTAATTGTTGAGCGTGATTAATTTCATGCAATTGTTCATTGTATATTCAAAGTTTGTTTTGGAAAATAATCTTACCAGTTCTCATCACTTATTGATTACTTCCAGATGGAACAAGAACAAATAATAAACATTCTAGCATTTCAACACCTTTGTTATATTCAGGAGCTGTTTTTTTATATACTAAGCAAAACAGTTTTTTTCATATTTTATACGTTTTTCTTTTTTATCATCCCTATGCTTGATAAATAGGTGTGTATAAAGAATATTATTATTGTTATTAAAGTTATTATTACTATATGTCTATGTCTTATCCTCAGTTGTCAATAGGCTTGTCTATTCTTGATCTGAGTTAGTTTCTACAGCTGAAATTGGTCAGTTAAATTGTTAAGAGAGAAATTTGCTTAGAGAGCCTTTTATGCAACCGATTGAAATAACGTGTTTTTTTATGTTTTGGATATGCGACAAAAACTGCTGGCCAAATTTATAACTCATTCTTTTCTGTGATTCATATGAGATGTTAGAAGTTAAACACAGGGTAAAAGATTTATTTAAACACATAAATATTTGTACAAGGAAGCACCAGATAAATATGCGCCTCACAAATCTCATTTGATTTTTGTGAGGGCTGTGATACTGCCCAGGTGCCCAGACTGAAGCAGGTGGTTTTCTTAAGGGGCCACACCCCGAGCCTATGACCTGAAGGTCTAGTCCACAAGACAGTGGAACATCATGAGAAGATGCAGTCTCATGGTAGCCGGTGACCAACGATTGGTTCATACGTCATTTGTTCCTTCAGGATACTGGAGCCCATGTGCATCATTGGTTTGGAATCAGGGTTTTCCAACTCCCCTAGGTGGACTCGCCGTGTCCACCAACCCGGTTAAAGCGCCGGACATTCGCTTTTCGTTTTCTCAATTTCGTAAACAACACCCCGCCCACGAGAAGGCAGTGAGTAGGACTTCCCTTGCGGAGGCTGTGTGCGTGTGGCCATGTGAGAGCATTTCGAGAGGGAGGGTGGACTCTCCCCACTCTCGAACGTACCAGGGCTTTTGGACGTGTGTAGAGATTCACATTAATCGATTTTTAAAGTTTTCTGATGTCTTGATAGGCAGTGAAAATTTGATAATTATTTAGATTAGGGAACACAACGTATGTAAATAATCATATATATGAATTTCCAAAGAGTGTTTTAAATGTGCCGGAATAGGAGCAGGATATTATAATGTTGATTTAATAAAATACAGTTAGAGGAACTATTTCAGAAACATAATTATATGTGGGAGGATGTACTCTGTATCTGCGAAAAAATGTATCTTACGATAAAAAAAGTTTTAGGTAGGTCCATAGATTCATAAATTATTAAGAAAACGTTAGGTCGATTGAAAGCAATCGTAACGAAGCTATTGTGCTTCACAAGTTTAATTCACTAACTACACTACACGCTTCCTAAAACCTAATTTATTCAGAGAGAAAACTGAAAGTGGATAGAAAGCCCTGTTGCCAAAACTGAGTAAATATGTTTATAAATCGAAAATATATATATATTGATCTGACGACACCATAGTCCTGTAAGTATTCATCTTTTGGATAAATTCTTAGCACGTTTATTTTGCCAAAAAAGGTGGATGGACCTTTCATTGATAAGTTTTGATAATATTGGCTCACTTGAAAACGTCATGTAGTCATTTTCAGATTTCATACTCAATTCCGTAATTCACATCAATTAAGCCCAACAAACGCACATTCATATCTATTATCACATTTTTATGTGTGTTTTGGGTGATGGAGTTTTGTAATGTATGTAATCATTTATTCCATTTCACCTATTATGAATGAGTTGGCTCCCGAAGAGTTTGTGATTAGTCTTCTTTTAAACAAGAATTACATCCCATGATTATATATACACACTAACTTTTCGAATCTAATCATAGTTGGGTCGCAGAATAAAGTAAATATCGATTGTCGTTCATTCTTATTGCGTAATAACTAAGCAATAACAACACATTAGTTGGAAATGTGCCTATATTTGAGTCATGAAAATCATCGTTGTGCATAAGTTGCAAGAGGTTTCCGGACCCTTTGTTCATTGGATATTGCATTCAGTTATGTAGACTGCCAAGGCATCTATGACGTGTTTTTTGATTGCTTGTCATTGTTACTTACGAACAGTTGCCAGTATATCGTGCCTCTAGGCTTCCTGTTGATCATCAGAATCAATATGAACTTTTAACTTGACTGGTTGAAATTTAAATTTATTATCAATGTCCACAAAATATTCGTGATTTGAATTTGATAGTGAAAAGGTTATCCGACACAATTTCAGTGTTTAAGTCATATGTTTATTTAATAGATAAGGGTATTTAGTGAAGGAAATGAGTCGTGTATAATAGATTGTAACTCACCAAAGATCTGATTTCAAGCCTCTTCACTTATCTACAACTACTTGCTATGAATATAGATGTGCAAGTCAAAAAGCAAATGTATGAGAATGTTGAGCTTGAGTGAAATTTCTGACAAATTACGCTGAAATCAACGGAAATTGGTTAGACAACCATTGAAAGCTTGTTAGCACTAGACTGGTACTTCGTCCTGGTATGGGGTCGATTAAAGTTAGGCGTGTAAACCGTTGGATTCCGGCTTGGTGTTCTAGAGTCGGAGTATTTACGCCCCAGACTGGAGGTCTTGAATCTGGTTTCGAGTCGCGGAATAGTGAATGCACACTGCTGAGCAGCCCCAGTGCTTTCAAGTTTCCAGTGACCGTATAACTTAAATTAGTTTGTAATTTAAATCAAACTCAACTCCATACTGAGAAATCACACTCTAATATGCGGTACCTATGACATAAGATAAAAGTTGGCTTCTGATTAAATGAAGAGATATTAGTTGAATCATTTCTATGTTTTCAAGACTTTGATGAACGATTTCCTCGTGTTAAGATGTGTATCATCATACAAAGGTGTCCTGGGTCATTAATGTAGTAAAGCAAAAGTTTTTTGTAATTAAAGCTATAAGATCATGCGAAAAAAGATCCAATAGCTAGTCCGAATAAATTTTACACTAAATCTTTGCAAAAATGCAACAAGGACTAGCACAAGTCAACTGACGTAACGGCCTTTTTACTTAAAGTTGTATGTTGAAGAAAAGAAACGTGGAATTACTAGTCTTGACACTAATTTCCAACATGGTAACAACTGTTATAAACAATAAAAACACAATTCTCTTTATCCAAGTCAGTCAGTCAGCAACAACGTAGGACCAGGCACATATATGCATCGGTCCAAGTTGCCACAGCAAGATGAACACCGGATTCATAGAAATAGTTAATTTAGTGGTGGTAGTATATAAAAGATAGGTTGTATATAAGGATATAGTATAGGAAGGAAAAAAGTTATGAAGCAATTTTAATCTTAAGGTTTAAGGGAAGATAATGAGTGTATACACCTACGTCATTGTGATCGATTCTGAACCATGTCACACAGAGTCTCCAACCATTGGTTACGATAGTCACGTGGACCCCAACCAGGTAGTCTGTATCTACCAACATGGCTCAGACTACAAGTTAGTGACTTCAAACACTGATGCCATGTTTTGGTTTGGACGCCCCTAACTTTCTTCCAACCATCCCCTACACTAGTCAACATTGCGCGTCATGGTAATCGGTGTTCAGGTATGCGTAACACATGGCCCAACCATCTCAGTCGATGAAGATTCATCACCTCATCAACTGATTTACCATCATTCCCTAATACCCTGTGTCTAACCTCACTGTTACTTACCAGGTGATCCCAACAGATGTGAGCAATATTTCTAAGACATCTGTGGTCAAATACTAGTAACCTACGAGTATCTTCTACTCTTAATGACCATGTTTCACAGCCGTAAAGTAGAACTGATGCGCAGTTTACTCGTCCCTTAATTGATAGATGGATATCTCGTCTTCGCCATAGGTGAAGTAAGTTGGCAAAAGCAAACGAGCTTTTTGAATCCGTGCTGAGATTTTGTCAGACACCAACCCATTAGGACTGATCAGACTTCCAAGATAAGTGAAGTTGTCGACGCGTTCGACTACTTCACTCCCTATCCTTAGTTCGGGTGTTGACGCAGGCCAGTCCTGGAGTAACGATTTACATTTGAATGGGGAGAAACGCATCCCAAACATCCTGGCATTATTACTCAGTTCTAACAGAAGACTCTGCATTTTGTCAGTGTCTTCACCAAACAGGACTATGTCATCTGCGTATTCTAAGTCGCTTAGTGGAGCCCCTGGTAGGAGATCAATTCCTGAAAATTCAGTTGACGAGAGTGTTATTTCCAGCTGTAGGTCCATGATGATATTGAACAAAAATAAAGATAGTGGACATATCTGACGGATACCATTTGTGGTTGGAAAATCAGATGACAGTTCGTCATAAGCTCTCACTCGAGTGGTAGTGTTCGAGTAAAGAGCCTTCACAAGGTTTATGTACTTCTGAGGTACACCTTTCAATGACAGACACTGCCACAGGACCTCTTGGTCTACAGAGTCAAATGCTGCTTTTAAGTCAATAAAAACTATCCTTGTCGGACGCTGATAAGGATGTCTGTGCTCTAAAACTTGACGAATGGTGAATATGTGGTCCATATCAACCATTTATTTCTCCATAACTCAGAAGATCAGACTAACGAATGAAACTATTTTTGATAGCATATTAATATGGAAATTTGTTACTAAAAACGATAAAACTCAACTGTAACCCGTTAGGAGAATTTAAAAACAAACGTCCACACAAAAGACAGATTCTAATCGGCATTATTCACGAAATTATCTCTCCAATAATGTTGTTATACATGTGAAGTTAGTTGCTAAGATACAAGTGTTGGCACAGTCGATGTCTTAAAAACTAAAGTTTAATTGCGTACATTCACTCTAGTGATTATTTTAACAATTTCGACAAGGAAATACCCCGTTAGCTGAAATTTAATCTATATTAGCATTCACACACTAGATGGACAGTAAAACGTTTGGAAGTGGATTATACAACAGAATACTTCAAGCATTGAAAATATGACGCATAACCTCAGATCAAATATAATTCAAACAATATTTAGGAGGTATGATGAACTCATTTTACTTTACTTGTTAAAAAAACAAGTTGAGCGAAGAAATATTTCTTTTCAATTAGTTCATCAAGGATCTACACTAATATATATGTTTTATAAGTGAGAAGAAAGTCTATACCAATTAAATGGTGGTGAGTCGGTACTGAAGACAATGGAGAACAATCGTGCAACATCGTGGAATGGTTGAATTTGGACA